GCTGGGAAGATCATGGGCTCTCTCCGGCTGGGAAGATCATGGGCTATCTCTGGCTGGGAAGATCATGGGCTCTCTCCGGCTGGGAAGATCATGGGTGTTTGTCAGTTTTCTTCTTTTTGTTTATCCTTGTTTTCTAATTTTCCCATAGCATAGCATAGTACTGCTTAGGGAACTAAAATCTTTTTTCAAGTACTGTACAAGTAATGCATTTGGCTCTTTGTCGGGCAGGTGATTGGAGGGAAGCGAGGAAGAGTTTGGCACTCTCCGATGCATCAAAACATTCAGTGTCTGCCCCTGCAGGGCTCAGCCTAGGCCCCCAGCAACTTACAAGGTTTCCCTGGATCAGCTCAGCTACTTACAGAGCAGAAAAACCACCCGCCAAGCAATGCCTGCAGAGCACGGTGCAGAGGGCTTCCCCTGGGGCTAAAGCAGCAGGGCATGGGTTAATTCTGACAATAGCAAGGCCCTTGGGGCAGGCACGGGCCAGGCCCTTCTGTAAGCGTGCAGTTGATAAAACGTGAACCATGTTAGCCTCCCCAGCATCCCTAGCTGCTGAGGCCAGGTGCAGAATGAGCCTGGCTATTCAGAGTCCATGGGGAAACAGCGCCCAGGTTTTGAACCCACGTGGGTCTGCACCAGAGAGGCTGTGACTCCTTCCTCTGTAGTGAGGAGCCCACCGCTCACGTACAGTTGGTAGAGCCGTGCTGGGCCTGGGTGTTACGGGGTGTCCCGTGGCACATGGGCATGGCTTGTCAGGATGTCCGGGCGTTTCCGTGGGGACAGGGGGGAAAGGCTGGCAGTTGTCTTCCTGGAACCCTGACCTCACAGGGACCCCCAGCCTGCTCCTAATTATGTCTGCCATGGGTGGATCTCATCAGAAACTCCCCACTTCTAGTTTAGGAAGAGACCGAGACCTTTCTAACCAAGGCTTGGTTCTGCCCAAAGCTGGCAGGGTTACCTTCCTGATTCAAAGGGAAACAATTTGCTTGTTAGGCTTGGGAGCTTCAAATGGCGCTGGTGGCCCAGGTGTGAAGCTCCCAGAAACAGACGGCTGGATTTCCTTCCCACCAGTTTGGAAAGGGAGGGAATGCCCACGGGCTTTGGCTCCCGGGACATCGTTCAGTGTCCCCCTCCGCGAGATTCCCTCATATCAGAGGGGCGCTGGACAATGCCGGGGCAGCGGGAAGAGTATAGACTTGGGAGTCACACAGTCCTGGGTTCGGATTCCGCCCACCCCCTCTGTGGCCGCAGGCCAGGCTGGAAGAGCTCAGACGCTGTTCACACCATGGTGGAGAGTCGGGGAAGTAGCACGAGATTGGCAGGCGCTGACCCCTGGGGAACCCCCACCTCCTGGACCCGGGGAACTTCTGTGTTTGTGGGCCGCCTCCATGCGGTGCGAGGGTGAATGACCACCAACGGACAGGAGTTATTAAACCACACGGTTCAACTTCTCAACACCAAGACCTTGCAGCCCCTGTGCAGAGAGACATTGCTTAATCCTAGCAGCCCAGTGCTACCAGCCTGGCCGTGGCCTGGGAGCAGGGCCAGCTCCTGCGTCTTGTGACCTCCGAAGTCACCCAGGACCCACCCAAGAAGACCCGTGCTGGGCTCACCACCTAGACATGGGTCCTTGCTGGACAAAACGTGGAGGCCGGGCTGAGGTGACGCTGGCGTCTCCGCCCGGGAAGGCGTGTCCCGGCACTGGCCCGCTTTGGCGCTGGCACCGGCCTGCAGGGCTCTCTCTCATAGATGTCACAAAGTATAGAATGCCAGGGGCCGTCACTCAGATCCTGTAATGCAGGGTAATCGACCCTAAAAGGATACAGGGCAGGATCAGGGAATCAAAAGCAGCCACAGCAGGGGACCAAACAAGCAGGGAGTGACCAGAAGAGAGGACAAGGCCAGGGAGGCCGGCGTGGGGGCCGGTGTGGGGGCCGGCGTGGGGGTCCTGGAACCTTCTCTCAGGCTGTTACAGCCATCCTCCTCCTCCGTGGCTCTGCGCCGGCCTCTGCTGCCGCCCGGGCCCCTGCGCGGTGGGCCCCGCGCCCCCTGCGCCCCCTGCAGTTGTCTGAAGGGGCTTGAAAGTCGGTCCCCAAGGGCCGCCGGCCGCCAGCCCCGCAGCCTGTGGCCATGTCCTTATTTGGAAGAGGGGCCTTCGTCGATGCCGTCGGTTTGGGATTCAGAGGTGAGATCTTCCTGGATTTGGGGGGGGGCGGTGTAAATCTGGTGACTGGCATCTTAGAAGAGAGGAGAAAACCCAGGCACAGAGTGGGAGGTCATGGACCATGGGGCAGAGACAGCACAGTTTGGCCATAAGCTGGAGGCCCCTGGGCTGTCCAGAGCCTGGGGAGGGGCAGGCCCTGCTTCAGCAGGATTTCAGGACCTCCAGAGAGCTCATGGCTTTACTTGAAAGCCACAATGTTGTCCCCCAAGGGGCCCAGGCACCTCCCAGGAAGCTCTGGCCACACCACACTGTGAAGAAGGGAGGGCTTATATGCCTGCTGGATGCAGAGTGGCCCTGGGGCCTGAAATGGGGGCAGAGGGCAGCCTGGACACTAGGAAGAGAGGAGAGTTTCCCAGACTCGTTCCCAAGCTCAGCTCAGCTCTCTGCAGAGCCCGAAGCAGATCAGCCGGTGTCAGGGCCTGGAGTGGGAGAGGGGAGGCCTGCTGTGGTGGGCTCAGGACAAACACAGGCTCGTGCAATGCACCTGTGCATGCACACTGGCGTAGTGCACACGTGCGTGCATGCACTATGCACAGATGCATGTGCACACGCATCCATGCACCCATGCGTGCATATACACAGCTGTGCTGGGTCTTCCAGACTTCCTGTGTGGGGAGCGGGCTTCAGAGAACGGGAAAGTGTTCCTCGCCCCTCTGCGGGTGCTCCCCCTCCTTGTCCAGGTCACTGGCCTGTCCAGTGGCCTGGCCACCCGCGTCCCAGTGACCCCCACCCCCGGCCTCACAGAGGAGTCACATGCAGAGCCCCGCCCCAAGCTCGCAGGCCCCAGAATCGGGCAAGAAGCCAAGAAGGCAGATGGGCACAGCTCATGCTGACAGAGCAGGTCTGGACTTTGTCCTGAGGCCCGTCCCCCCACCCCCCAGCGGTTCCTCTGCTGAGCGTCTCCCGCTGGCCCTCCGCCTCTGCCCTCTCTGGGGTCCTGGAGGCCAACCTGCCTGAGCTCCATCCGCCCAGCCCTCCCCCGGCCGCCTCTGGCTGGCAGTAGCCACCGTGGCCCGGACTCACGCGCCTGCCCCTCACAGCTCTGTCCTCCGTCCCTGCAGCCTGCCGTGCCACGCCGATCCTGCGGCACCCCACAGCCCGGCATCGTTGGAAGCACGGCCACCCGTAAACTTCCTTAAGGGGCCTCCAGTTGAAGTGGCTGTTCATTCGCATCCAGTACCTGACCGGTGCCGCCCTGGCCAGGGCTAGGCCGGTGGGGCTGGCTCTGCGGCTCAGGAGGGGTCACGACCAGGACAGTGACGGCACAGTGCTCCACAGTCCGTGTGGAGATCCTCATGGGCCCTTGGGCAGCTGTCAGAAGAACACAGAGATACACGGCATCCTGTGCATCCTTCCCATTGACCTTTTGCAACACCGGATACAGCGTTACGGCGGGGGCAGGGTGGTGCCATCCGCCCGCCCTCCTCCATGTCTGTATTGTGTGTGTGTTCAGGTGTCGGTGTGTGTACACGTGCGTGCACCGCTATTCTCATGTGCAGGCGGGTGCATCATCTCCATCAGAAGGATCAGAACAGCTTTCTGCAGTGTTAGGGTTTGGACTCGACCTTGCCTGGCTCTGAGAGGCCCCAGCCCTGTGCTTTGCCGCCAACCCTTTCTTAGCTCTAGTTATTTTGGGGGGCAGAATCTAGAGTTTTCCACCTGGCCCTTGGAGTGTGATCCGACTCCTCTTGCGTGGTTAGGATGATACCTGTGCACCACCATTCTGACTTACTGACTGACATAGGGCCTTGGTAAATTTCTGCCCCATCTGGCCTCCAACTGCAATCCTCCTGATTTAGGAGTCCCGAATAGCTGGGTTACAGCCACCACATGCCACCATGCCTGGCTACCACAGGGTTTTTAAAAATGTGATTTCCTCAGGGATTTTTCGAAGATCAGATCACTTCAGCACAGTATTCCCCATTTCCCCCAAAACATCCGTGGCCCATGGCAGAGGCTCAGGGCACCAGGCTGGCTGGAGGCCCAGCAGGCTTCATTCTTCCTGGCCAGGGAGGAAGCCGGGCGCAGGCTCCATCCACCTCAGGCTCCCGCATTCTGATTGTTTCCCAGCTCTGCTTGGCTTCAGTCTGGGCTCTCTTTCTCTCCCCGTGCTGCCTTTTGTGGGCCAGAATTTTGGAACCTGAGTGCAGAAGGTTTGGGTTGTGCCCATGAGATGGGAAATGCCATCCAGAGCCCTAGCTCCACCTCCGTCCCCAGCCCTGCCCTGAGCCGGCATCCTCTGGCCCCTCTACCTAACACGCTGATAAAACGCACCGTGTGGGCCGTGGAGGAGCCAGGCCGGAGTGCCAGATAACCGACTCTGCTTTGATGTTTCCCAAGTGCAGACTGGGCCGGGCCTCCTCAGCCAGCAGCACATGCTTGTTTATTTTTGTCGCCTGTAGGGTTTTTGATTTTCCCTTCCCGAGTGGGCCAGCTATCATTATTGCTGTCATTACCCTATTGGAAATGTTGCTAAACGCAATAGCCCTCTCCATCCCATCTTCCCCGCGCAGGCCTGGAGACCACCCACGACGCAGGCCTCGCTCATCTCCATAGCCCCAGGATGGAAGTCTGCGATTTCACCACTCACGCACACACGCGCATGCACACACACACACACACACACACACACACACACAACCAGGCTGGCCTTTGTTAGACTTCCCACCCCCCCACCATGCGGCGGGTTCCAGAGTTACCAAAATGTCCCAAGAACCACATGGCCCCCGGGGAGGGCGCGGCGCGGTTGCGTCAGACCACGGACGCGCAGTTCTGTCTCAGCGACGTTCCAAATGCCTTAGATCAGAAGACACAGCTCAGCCACGCTCTTCCCATAAATACTGTAAATGACTCGGAGGCCCCTGGAACAGCTGGGCGCCCGGGGCCACGTGACGTTGGCCTCACCCCCCCGTCCTGCCCCGGCCCAGACCACCCTGTGAGCTCCGCAGACGCACCTGCAGGGCCCGCAGCCTGGTCTCCGCGTAGGTGGCCATCTTGGGAGCAGCGACCTGGTGTGAGTTGTTCCTTCCTCCGGAAGTTGTTCTTCATATCTGGATTTCACAAGTCCAGTCTGAAAATGCACATACCACTGTGTGCACACACATGTGCACACTCCCCCACGCACATGCTTCCTTCCACACACGGACACACGCTCACGGGCACACACCGTCACGCTGGTGTCCCTCTGTCCATTCCCAGCCTGGCCTTGTCTGGTCCTGCGGAAAATGTCCCAACAGGCTTCGACAGAAACAAGACCTAAGCATCTGCTGCGGCCCAGGAACGCTTGCTTGCTGCTTTCATCAACCAACCCTGTGCCCGGGGCCTGTCCACTGTGAGCTCCTGGGGGTCTTTCTGTCCTTTCCTCCGCAAGATTACATAGTTGTGCAGTGACTACAGTCCAATCCCCCTTCAGTGAGATTGGGAGGGAGAAATACACCCCGCATCCATCCCTGATGCTCACACTTCAGGAGCAAGTGGCCAAAGAAACAGGCAGGACTACGTAGAAGTGCACAGGCGGATGCCGAAGACGATGTCAGTTCCCCACTGCAGGACGGCTTCTCCAGAATCTCAGGGCTCCTCTGCGTGGCTCTGTGTGGGCTCTGTGTGGGCTCCTCTGCGTGGCCCTGTGTGGGTTCCTCTGCATGGCCCTGTGTGGGCTCCTCTGCGTGGCCCTGTGTGGGCTCCTCTGCATGGCCCTGTATGGGCTCCTCTGCGTGGCCCTGTGTGGGCTCCTCTGTGTGGGCTCCTCTGCGTGGCTCTGTGTGGGCTCCTCTGCGTGGCTCTGTGTGGGCTCCTCTGCGTGGC